AATAACTCAATCTAATTTTTGAATGATTAATAGTAGCACATTCTAATAAAACATCTCACTAAAAAAAAATCAAAGAGTTTTTTTTCTCAAAATATGGAGTGGAAAGTGCCATGTAATTTGACCAAATAGTATGGGCGAGAGCTATCGAAGAACTGAATAAATGTTAGTATTTCAATGGTCGTACTTAGGACAATGCATAAGATTTGATCCCATCCACATCAAAGAAATATTACGTGCGGCGACCATATGTCCGGATGTGCCGCTGTGCAATACACGGCGCCGTGGCCACATTCAGACCGTCGTCCGAACCATCCGGTCGGCCGCACGTAATAGTTTTCCTTCCACATCACATGAAATTATAAGAAGCCCTATCACAAGATCAAAGGTCGGTAATATCAATAATATTAATCTTCTCAGGGATCGTTTGCCAGGTTAGCTCAAAGGCCATTTTTGGCTTAGGATCGGTCCAACGGCTTATCACGACAGTCGGAAGACGTCTGGATGGAGAAACAGAGACTTGGCAATGAAAAGAATCAAAACATACTGAAAGACGTTGTGTGGCCATCTCTATTCGTGGTCACGCCCCATCATATGGGCATGGCCATGCCTACCCTGTTTGGGGCTATTTTCAGGCTCTGGTGATTTTGGCCACGTGGCAAAACTTGGAAGGCCCTCCCTAAGAGGAAAAAATGTTCCAAACTCCTCTGTGTTGTCCGTTCCGGCATTCAAAGTCATCTAAAAGATAATTCCTCACGAGCAAGCCAATTTAGGGCTTGTATTGTTGGTGTTGCGCCGTGCCATCAATGTAATGTCGGCTTGCCCTTACCTCATCTATGTTCAAAGCATAGAAAAACGATCTTGGCCACTTGCCAGAGGATCGAAGACGGATATGCCGATCCTCGGAGAGTCATATGTTCGTGAAGCATATCCTAAAGTCGTTTGAGCGGATATCCTACACATGTAACATCAAAAAATGATGCAAACAAGTATCAATCTTAAATATCATACACATTACAACAAAAACTGATTTTACCAACAACACAAGCATAACAAGTGTTAAAACAACCAAATAAGATGAAAGAAAACAAACAGACATCGCTAATCCTGCATGCAAAAGAAATTAAGATCCCCTTTCCAAGCTAAAGGAACTGTGTTCAAAAGGAACCAACTTCTATATCACTATTACAACAGAATGAAGTTTAAAATTTTTACAAAACTGGAGAGAGAGAGAGAGAGTAGCCATTTAAAGCAAGATATGCATCTAAAAATAGGACCATACTCTTCGAAATAAAAATCTGCACCAAAGGACTGTATCGCTCTGCAGGAAAATGTATGAAGGTTGTTAATTAGCAGAAATCAGCTCTGAACTTACCAATCCATCTACCCAGGCCACCCTTCTCAACCAAAACTTACAAGATGATTGCAATGAGGATCCTATTTTTGCGAATAATTATGAGGTTAATTAACAAAAAAAAAAAAAAACAAGGAATAAACAAAAACTCTAATATTATGCAGCTCAACAAGGAATAAACAAAAACTCTAATATTATGCAGCAATCTACAAGCGTCTCCCTCTCTTGCAAAACTTGAAGAACTTTAAATAGGGATTCTCGTTTGCTGCAAATGGATAAACGTTTGCTGCTTGATTCAAAACATAAGTTACAAAAAACAATGCCATAAAAACTAGAAATCTGCGATAAACTTACAGGAAAACAGAGAGAAGATGGTGAAATAAGATCAATGAATAGTTTAGGTGTTAGGAGAATTAGGAAAGATCTGTATTTGGGTTGCAGATTAGGCTTGAGGAAAAGAACAAGGATATCGATGCTATTTAACAAAGCGGG